TGTGGGTTCGCCCACTCGATGTCTTGCTCGTCCATGAGTTCTCGAAGGCGATGGCGTAGTTCGGCCATGTTCCAGCTCTCGGCTGGGATCTCCCCGAACGTAGAGATCGCGGCTCGAAGTTGCACCTTCGACATCTTGTCCATGTTCTTGAACACCGCGTTCGGCCGCACTGTCACACTCGATGGGCTCGCGACTTGGGGCCCGACGTTGCTGCGCTGGTGCGACACACTCTGCATCTTTCCACACACATGTCTCACATGGAACGTGCTGCACACTGGATGCATCAGGCTCGGCCTCTAATGCACTCGCTTCAGAAATGGAAATCTTCCTAGAATCCCCAACACCAAACACACCTTCACCTCTGCCGTCTAGGGGAGATGCTACAGGCGCTTTGGCACTACTACCCACTCCGGAAAAAACTCGGTCCCCTTGTTTACCCTCCGGTATGGTCCACAAGGGGTCATGTCCCTACTCCTCGGCCAACACATACGACGAGAGCGAGGGGACCTCGGCTTTTGCCGCCCTAGCATCTCGGAAAAGATCCTCAGTGAGATTCATAAGCTGGTGGCCCGTGGTGGAACGGCGCAAGGGGATAATCTTACGGGCATCCAGGCGCCTCAGCACCATCATGTCGTGCTCGAAGTCAATCACTGCTCCCAAAGTCCTCAGGGTAGATACTGAGATGAGGATGGGTCCGGTTCCCTTGTTGAGGGCGTGCACCCTCAGCTTCCCATCCTGGCCATTGGCCTGCAAGCCCAGGTCCACTGTCGACACACACCGTGCTTCACCTGAGTCTGCAAACCCAAAAACTGGCCGGTTCATCACATCAACTCCCTGGATTCCCGATTGGCCGTGTTTGGCCAAATTCTTCTTCATGACGGCTTCAATCGCTTGAACAGACCCCAGAGTCCTGGTAGCACCCCCGTCTATCACTCCCCAGCCGTCCTCCACGGCCTCGGCAGTGGTGGGCAGTACCCCGGCGGTCATGCCTCCCGGGCTTCCCGCTAAGGCCTGCTCAACAAAGCAGACGAAGGGTGCAGCCTCTTGGGTCTCAGCTGCATGTGCCTTGTTCTT